AAATATCTAAGGTGTGGGGGGCAGAATGGCGAGGCCAGACTGTTTTGAGTGGTGAGTGGAGACAGGACAAGGGGAAACGGCTGGAAACTGCAGCATAGGAAGTTCTGCACCAATGTGCGCAAGAACTTCTTTACAGTGAGGTGACGGAGCACTGGAACAGGCTGCCCAGGGAGGTGGTGGAGTCTCCTTCTCTGGAGATGTTCAAGACCTGCCTGGATGCCTACCTGTGCGACCTGCTGTAGGGAACCTGCTTTGGCAGGGGGTTGGACTCGATGATCTTGGACGTCCCTTCCAACCCCTACAATTCTGTGATTCTTGAACTGAGCACAACAGAGTGACTGCACTGTGGAAGAATGTGGAAGAAAAAATCTTCAAAAATGTACCCAGAAGAGTATTTCAGAGGCTGTAATACTGACACTTACCACAGTTTTTTCAAGAAAACTCCTCCACACTTAGCCTGAATTGGATTTGCTACAACACTGCTTCTTCAGGTACCTTCACCAACAACAGAACTGCCTGATCCTACGGACACTGAGCAATAAAAAAAAAAAAAAAACAACAAATGGCACATCCTCTGATTCTGGTGACTCAGAAAGCTTTCAAAAGTATTTCCAAAGCTTAAGATGTCCCCAGACAATATCCAGAAAATTTTGCCTTTTTTTCCCCCATTAAGATGGGCCAAGATCTCTCAACCACTGAGTTCAGAGTCAATAATGACTTCACCATATTGAATTCTACAACCTTTATTTTTGGAGGTAAGAGATCTTCTGGACAGCACATTTCTGTAGTCAATCCCACGTGCAGACCTGGACATGGCTGATGGCTTCTGCCTCCCAGAGACATCCCTGAAGGCTGAGTGCCTACTAAACTGCCAGAAAGGAACAAAACACCCTGAAGTCAGAAAGCCAAAAAACGCACGTGGTGACAATCAGCAACACCTCAGATGGTCACACAGCTTCGTAAGGAAGAAAAGCTGTGTATAGCTCTCTTCAGAAACTTCTGCATGACAGCATCTGTGTGAAATGACTCAAATGGAAAGCGTTGCTTTTCCATGGCTTGCCTCCAGCGGGGAAATCTAACGCCCTCAGCACGTGAGGAGTCTTTTGTAGCTATGCATTAAACATACACCTGTGCTCAGGAACAGATGGAAAACTGCTTTCCATAGGGGCTTTTCCCAGGCAAGAAGTGAGGCAGCCATGCCATGGGACATGAGCTGTGGCAGCCAAAGGCAGGAGAACCACAGGGACATCCTCAGCACAGCGTTAACTTAAGCAGCCATTCTGCAACAAAACTCAGAAAACCATGAAGGTGTTGGCTTGAGTTAGCACAGCTTAAAAGCAGCCGCCCTCCAACGCTGCTGGTGTTGTGGAAAGGGGGTTGAACAGAGATGGCCTGATAAACCAAGAATCTGGTTAGATGCAGCTTCTTCTTTCAGGTATGTCTCAGGGAACACAGCCTTTCAGATACATCTTGTGAACAAAATTTTTGGTTATTTAACATTTTAACAAAACTTTTAATTTTTTTTTTTAAAACAATTAGATCCCACCTGCCATGCCTCATTTTGATACCATCTGCCCCCATAAGCACTTCCCTTAGCACTGCCCAGCTGAGCCTTGACTCAGCCCAAAACTCACTGTGATGTCTCTTCAACATACAGAGCTGTGACAATCTGCATCTGGGGCACTTCACATGACATTCTTCACAGAAAAAGGCACAAAAGCCACAAAGGTATTTGTCTTTTGATACAAATTACTACACATTGTTCACCAGTTAAAGAATTGTCACTGAGCCAGATTCCTGGTTTTATTCTTTTTATTCTTGGAAGGAAAAAAAAAATACCCTTCTGACAGAGCCTCAGTTTCAAATCACATTTAGACACGCAATTACTGCATTGAGTTCATTCCACAGTTTGACATCAATATCATAATCCAGTTACCTACTGCATGGCACTTGAACTTCTGATAGCAAACGTTTTCAGTTTGAGATATTGTACTGAAGCCACAGGACAGCTGTAACTGACAGGATTATGTAAAAACAGTGGCTTATCACAAATGTCCTAACATTTTCTGATTTTAAGTACTCACTTGAGAGTGACGCAACTGCAAATATTGCCAGTGGTTTTGTTTGCCAAGGTTATATTTTGCCTTAAGTGATGCAAAAGAACACAGGCTCCACTCCTGAAATAGCTGGTCTATAAATATGATACCTTTAGATATCCAGCTGAGCCAATGAATCTTCTGCCTTCAGACTTAAATGCTGGATTATCCCATTTGTGGAAAAAAAGGAGTTAGCATTTAAGCTATTTTGCCTCACATACTTTTTGACATGTGAGTGTGATTTTTCCCTACTGCTTTCACTCACACAGAGAGAAAGTTGCTGATGCTCCATTCTCATCCATCTGACCCAAAACTCAATGGGCTCCTGCTGCACCAGCTCCCAGCCCTCAGCACCTTGCAGCACCCGCTTTGTTCTGGCCGTAGCCCTTCTCTGGCTTTCCTTTCCTCTGGCCCTCCAGGCACCTTCAATATCAGCTTTCCTTTCTCCTCATAATCCCAAACATTGCGCACATCAGACGCCTCATGCTGTAGGTTTGAAGGCATTTGAAAATGATTAAAGCATCCATCAGCTTTCCAGAGCTTAACAACCATCATTTTGAAGAGATTCAGGGCAGTGTTCCACCAGATACAGCAGAAATAACCTCATAGGAGTTTTCTGGCTTGCAAAAGTTAAATGACAGAACAAAGTCAGTGAGGACCACAGAGAAAGCAAGGACTTCTGGGCAGCTCTTCAGGGAGACAGGGATGTAAAAAGAAAAAAAAGCAGAAGAGAAAAACCTTGTTAGTGGAAAACCCACAATTCTTTGACAAAGGCAATTTTACAGAGTACAGTTCACCCTACTCCTTGCAGGACAAAGTAAAAGAACATGGAAATGAATAATGGCACAACTTCCACTTTCCACCTCCCTGGGAACATTCAGTCCAGTCAAGGAGGTAAGGTTGGCTGTGGGTAAGGTTTGGCTTTAACAAGCAAAGAGGACCAGGAGACTTGTAGTACACGAGTATCTAAAGTCACAGCCCCTCCTTGGCAGAAATAATCTATTCCTGTCCCTCACCACTTCCCACCACCACTTGTACCTTGTACCAGCATATGAACAAGCATTTATGTGCTCTTTCATAACTATGTGGCATTTTCAAGCCACCAAACCTTGCTTTCTGCAATAGGACTCTCAAAAAAATGTCGTACTTCCAAACAATTCCATTCTGATCAAACACACATTGCAAGTTTTTAATAAATGAATGCAGCATGTCTAGCAAATCTATATTAAATCTGAGAGTTTTTAATCACACCACACTTCTTAAATGACATTTTCACAATGATAGTCAAAGCACCATCTCAATCCACTTATCTTCTTAATAATCAGCAATGCTCTTTTGTCTGCTGCAAGATCTTTGTTCTTGCCCACACAAGCCCTAGGAGTAGCAAACATGATGCAACATGCTACGAACTCCTGATCGTATCTACCTGCCCTCTGAGAATGCAATAATGAGCTGAAATCGCTCCAGTACTGGACAAAATGAAAACACAAATTAAGCCAACATTAATCTATATAAGAAAAACTGAAAAAAAAAAAAAAAAAAAAAAAAAAAAAAAAAAAAAAAAAAAAAAA